CGCCAATTTATTAGGGGATCATGCACAAACGCCTGAAAAAGGTCAATTATAAAATTGATGCACAAGGTATAATTTTCATTGCTCCCCGTGACTCGAAAAATTGACTGTAATTTGATAAAAAGTCTGGAAAAAGCTTCTACACGGCGTTAGCCATGAGGGAAGAACGAGAAAGGGGTGAGGTAATTCAAAGGGTTTCTTCTCTTTGATCATAACCTATTACCATAACCACTAATTACCACCCTAATCCAAATATACAACCACCAACAGCAGCTAACCATTACTACATAAAGCAGGACCAAAATTCCGCAATATCCACCACTACCTCAACCATAATAACACCCCGTACAACCTTCATTGCTATTCTATATAGTGCTACCATCAAAACTCAACCATCAAGCTACCACCGACATCGCCATTTACCACCCTATTCCCCATCAAGCATGTACGGCATAATTCACCTGCTTCTAATATTCAAATTTTGTCCTTCAAAACAGACAGACAGAGAGGTGCTGGTGACATCCAGCAATGGTGATGGTGATGGTGATGGTGTTGGAGAAACTAGGAGTTATGTATTCCAGTAGTTACTGACGGGTTCAATGACAAATCATAACTGGTTGCACTTTTACAACACAGTCGATATGAGAAGAGAGAGAAGAGTAACAACCTGATCAAAAAGAAAAGAAAAAAGCTGCAGAACAAACGAACAGAAAGAACTCCGGCAAAACAGAAAACAAAAAGGAACACAGTATTTCCCTATCTCACCATGACTACAACAAATATTTGGGACTTCCAATGATACCAATAGTCTACTGAACCTGTCAAACCACTACATTCAAAAGATAAGTAAGAGCAGATTCAGACTGTACCTCCATCATGGCCATAACACACTCTTTATTTGTACGCAGAACATGCATGACATTCTCACAAGTCGAGCGAAAATTTCCTTCAATACCACTGACCTCCATAGCTTTAACAAGCATTCTAGTAAGCCGAAAGGGGACCTGTATCAAACCATTTTGACTTTGTTAAAACGGAATATGAATTAATTTGTCTGAAACATTATGAAAGGTGGAAGATTGTTTCAAAAAAAATTACGATAAACTACCTTTTCAGGGAATTTCTCCCGGTTCATTGATGCTTCAAAGCAATCTCCAAAGTCAATATGCAATATCTTCCCACTGACACACATCATCTTATAAGAATAAATTTAAAAACTTGACAATTACCAATTGTAAATTTGGTCACTAAAATACCTGGAACGATGCAGCATAAGGTTACTTGGATGTCGATCACCCAATCCAAGCAAGTAACCAACCTGAAACAAGAGAAGCTAATATTTCAGAAAATTTTCCCAATGAAAAGTCAGAAAAGATGAGTGAATGTGTGCTATATTGCGTGCACCCAGGTTCATTTGTGCATATTTTGAGCACAATGATAATCGTAGAGATATATGACTAGAACAGATTAGGAGATTGATAGGCCACCCATCAGATTTAAGAATGCAAGATGCAGAAAGAAGGATACAGCCAGCAGCACGAAATACAGAGCGATTCAAGTAACACACAAACAGTGATTCTTGTTCCTCTGCTTAATTGGCTAGGGTTCATATCAATTTTTGGTTTCTACTATCTAATGCAGCGAAGATATACTCATCCCAACAAACAATACCCTAGTTCTGGGAATTTGCAGCCAAAATATAGCCATCACCATCAGGAGCAACAGAAAAAACCAAGAATAACCATTTATTTAAGGCAACAACCTTTTTTTTTTTTAATTTTATTTTATTTTATGCATATTCATATTAAAGAAAATCTTTTAAGAATCAACATCATAACAGTCTTGTTAACTTAGATGCCCCTAATAACAGCATGCCAGACCAGAGACATAAGCTTATTACATGAGCAAATACTATTGACAGCATGCTAAAAACTGGCTCACTTAACGGAAAGGAATACATTTTAGAATAGGAAGTGTATTTAGTGCAATGACATTCTTGTTTCCTCCTCCTCCTCCACTCCATCTGCCGTCGTAAAAATATGAAAATTACAACGAAAAAATGCAGAGATTGTACCAAATGTAAGAAGAAACATTACCATACTCATGACGGCCAAACTTCTTGTGTAGTTTGTCCTCCTGTCCAGCCAGACCTCTGAAGTGCGACTCTTTAACCAGAGAACCTGTTAGGAGTTCACAAAGCCTTCTCATAAAAGCCATTCAAATTATTAATGCATACATATATACATGCATCAAATAATACCTACCCTTGACAGATCATTGCCTTCTGTATTATGCAGAGCATACTCAAACACCTCCACCTTCGCTATAAGAGGCAAATGATCAAAATCTGGAGCAAAACTAAGCATTAGCTTCTGCTCTTGGTTTAGGGTGATCTACAATACCAGAAACAAGCAGTCAAAATCAGGATATGCATCTGCCTCATAAAACAGACAATCTCCCTGGATGGGAGGGATTCAAACGAACCTTTCTGGCATCCCTATACTCTCTGATGAGATAGTGCAAGGTGTCACAATTTGGAACCCATCCTATCAGTCCACTGTTCGGAGATAGTGGAATGACAGCATATCTTTCAATAGAGAGGTCTTTTTCTGAAGTTTTCCTAGAGTTCTCCAGCAGAGTATTAACTAAACCGAACAGCTGGCAAAGAATTGAGATTCAGACCCCATTAACATAGTTGATAAATGATGAGAAAGAAAATCAATTCTCTTTGATAGTTTTGACCCAAGAGCAGACAAGCATTTTATGAATAATGTTATAACAGAACAGCACCACCATCCCAACACAGAACAAGGGCACAGTGAAATATGAAATAAAACCTGCATGACACGTTCATCTTGTCGTAAATCTTCATGCCCCTTCAGCAAGAAAGTATACTCTTCTCCATCACTCCCAAGAATTGTCAACTTACGAGGTCGTTGTTTCGACGAGATCACAGAAAGCTGGGGTGAAAATGATGTAATTGTCACCACTGGTGAATCTGGAGAAACAAATATATCTGTCATGGGTGATGTCGGATATGCTTTTCCTTTAATACTACTTCGACCATACCTGCTATATAAGTTCCAGGAACCGCCAGCTCCAAATCCCGGCACTCCAGCAGTTCTGGGGAAACAGACTGTTTTTCACAGAAATATCCCATTAATATCTCAACAACATATACCATCAACTACAGAACTTTTTTCTTGCCTGCAAATCCAGAGTGGTGAGAGTTTGAAGCTGCTTATCAATCCGCCTGAATACATGGTAATAGAGATCCCAAGCCTGGTAAGAAAATTTTGTCAATTCATTGGAAAGAGTTTAGCCATGTCTGGGAGCCAAACCACTCAATGCAGTATAAAAGTATGGGCACAAAATTCACTTCTTTACAGGCAGTTGAATACCCTAAGAAGAAGAAATAATCCAACGCCAATTCCATGATTACAAGTTCCAATGTTGTGAATAATTAATTCTAATATATAATGTTGACGCAAAAGCTAACCATCATATCACTGATGAGCAAATGGGACATAGTGAACTATTCTGAATTAAACAGGAAGTAGATATAAATGATCACAAAGACAAGCAGCATATGACGAGCAACTAAAATTTTATCATGGGACAGCAGTCTAAAAACATGTTTGAGAAGTGTTTATAAACCGTTAAAAATATAAACAGATAGAAATGAGCAGGGAATAAATGGTTAATACTTGTAAGTCTCTCGAAATGTGTGGATCAAAAGTGGCTTGAGTGTTTATAAAATATAGGTAGGTCCTTCGTTCACATTGGAAAGGGCTAATCTTTCTGATTAGAGTCCGACTGTCATTAAGGTTCTAATTACTGTTAATCAAACAAATCCCAAAATTAGGTCTATTATTCAATTATTTTTGGGGTAAATATCACAAGGGGTCCTCAACCTTTGAACCTTGTGATGATGAGGTCTCAAATACTCCAAGCATAGGATAAAAGAAAGATAATAATAGCAATATTATTAAAAAGCGAGTGGAGTTTGTATACTTAAAATGCCAAGCGTCCTCATTCTACTTTTTTGGGTAAATAGGTGCCCAAACTTCTATCCATCTGAAAATTTTTGTCCAAAAGAGAGATCAAATTTGCTGAAAACACAGTTTTTACCTCTCGTTCGAATAAATGAAAAATAAGTATAAACAAAGAAAAAAAAAAAAAAACACCTTCACACCTTGCACCACTCCCCACCCTCCTCAGTGACGCTTGCCCCAGATTTGGTTAGCATAACCGAAGCTCAATTTAAGTTTCCATCTACTCCTGAAGGCGGACAAGAATAAGTCTATTCCTAAAGCCACACTTGTCACTTTCTTTTGATTCTTTACGTCCATTCCCTTTCTCACCTCTTCTTTACAATTGATCATTACAAGTCTATGTGAAGAGAATCAGATATTGCTAAGAATATTAATGATTATGGCAGTCTAAAGTGTGGATGCAAGATATTCAGACACTGTAGCCTGCTAAATTTCGGATTCCCTAAACTGCAAAAGGCAATGAAACTGATATGATCTTGTCGAGGGTATTCGAGAATAATGAGGATTAGCAGAGAGCAATTATCTTGGTGTGAAAAAAAAAACCCAAAGAAATTAGCTTCATCAGAAATCAGAGGTTTTCTCATACTTAATATTGATGACTTCTGGCCTCAAATGTTTTGTAATTTTTTCCCCTTACTAATCAATTTCATTTTTTATCCAAAACTGAAGCATCCCGAGATACTTGCAATCTAGCAAAACAAGTCAAAGTGAATATCAGAATTTCTTCACACAAATACCTGAGTAAGTTCAGCATCTTTTCCAGTTCTTCTATATTTCATGCAGCATTCATATGCTTCCAACAATTCATGGCGGTATGCCTGAAGCATATGAAGATTCTTAATAAATAGTGTCCCGTAATCAACACGTATCAAATGAAGGTTATGAAGAATATTTCTCAACTTAATTCATAGAAATCAAGTCATATTTCTCAGTTAATGCGTACAAATTCCTAAAAAGCAATTGACAATCTTGAGAACAAAGTAGCCACTGTTAAATATTGTCCTCTACACTTCGTTTATAACAGAGACGATATATGTCCGAGAATTGGAAAACCTGAATGAAGGCTTTCTCTTTTATGGTGGTATTGTCCCCCATTGCTCCTTCCTCAAGCATTTCATGTAATGGCTCAAACACCTTTAGCATTCCCTCAATGTTATGTTCCCCAAAATATAAGCGGCTTGCCTCTTCCAATGCATCATGCCACATCTCATGCCAAAGAATTGCAACCCTTATCAACTCCTTGGACACAAGTTCAGCCTTTCAAAATGAAAAACAGACAGTCAGCTAATTGCACAAATGAAACCAATACACTCACCATTGTCAAAGTTTTTTTCACCTGATCCACCAGTGCACCACTATGCCGTTTAACTTTATCAACCACTTCATGAGCTGCAGCTTTGCGTAAATTGCTAATAGATTTGCATGCCACAAG